TTACTGCTACTGATCAATCTCCTACCACAATGAAGTTACTGTGATGCTCCTTATATAGTTGATCTACTCTTGAGAGTGGTGGTGTATGATATACTTTGGAAGCTCTGCAGTTCTATAAGTGTATGTCTGGTTTCTGTCATTATTGTAGGGCTGCAATGGCCAATAGAAGTTTCATATGAGTGTATATGGAGCTTTGCCTCAGGGCAACTGGCAAAGATTTTTTCTCTCATGTATAACTGACTTGTGGGCTGTGTTCTGCAGATTTGTATGGGTTTAGTATCTTGGTGAAGTGTAAGGGAAACCTGATTTCATGTTTAGAGATTTGTCACTTGTGGTTAATCTGATAATACTTGCATGCATTATCATAAAGGAGATTTCTGACTGGTTTTGATTTATTATGCAATTGTTGGTCATTACTTATGGAGCAGTAGGTGTGTATAATCACCAGGTAGTGGTGTTGCATGGTGCTTGTGATGACCATCAAACTAGTTTATTCCCACCACAATGTTGTATAATATCAATGGTTTGTCCTTCTTGGAGTGGCGGTGGATGTGCCTCAGCGATGTTGTTAATAACTATTTTTCTAGCTTGTAATTGCTGTGGTCATTCTAGGAGTGGCCATGAAGGATGCTTATGCTCAGTCTGATCATGCAATTATATACTGAATGATGTATATCTTTCTTTTCTGTTGGGCAATGAGAGATTTTATTTTCCAAACACAGCAACCCCTTCTGACTGTGTTTAGATGTTTGTTTTCCTGTATATATTGGTTAGAGGCACCTAGAAAATATGGCTTTGGCACCAGTAACACATGGCTGGGATTGCTGCACTTAACCTTATAATGGTAGCCAGAGCTGCTTCTTACTGTTATAATTATGTTGTAAATGTTTTAAAGTGGTGGTGTATACTGAGACTGACTAGTTTATCCTGATATCTGTGGCTTTGTGTAAAGATTAATGCACCGGGACACCAATTTGAGAGGTAAAAAGTGTCACTCTGATTCTGAGTTAATCCCTAGGTTTTTGGTGAGAAAATGCATTAATTCAGACTGAGTTCCCCTCTCTTACCCTGGAATATGGAAAAGGTCTAGTCTAAGAGTTGTTTATTTTGGTAATTGACTGAATCATTAATGCCAGTGGTTGAAGACCTGCCAGCAGTTTGTGACGGGGGTGCCAGATTAACTTAGTAATTAATGGCCTTGCCTTGCTTACAGTTGCTGTTACTGGCTTAGTGGTGGGTGGAATCAGCTGAAGTTTTATAATTCAACTTCTTGTGGTGATTCAGATTTCTGACTTTGTCCCATGCACACGACAGGGCATAAAATATCTTTCTTCTGATAAAATAATGTTTACCAAGTTGGTAGGAAACCTCTTACTGGAATTTAGCTCCAGTTCTAGAAGTTATGTTCCTGCTGGCCACATGATAGTGCATGCTAGTGATCCCATGTGGCTTCTTTGTCATTGCAGGTTCAGTTGCAAATGGAGGTTGCATCCCCTAAATTTTTGGGATGCTGCATGTAGAACAAAGGTTTTTGTTGAGTTTCTTTTCCCTAACTGTAGTGGTAACTGCAAGTGGTGGGTGTTGCTGTTAGGCACATTTTGCTGGTGGAGGTGGTAATATTATAGAGACTTTTAAATCTGTTGACTCAGACTTTTTTGTTCCATGAACTGGGACACCATATTTTGTACTGGTGCACAAGTTTCAATGACCTTGTATTGTATCAGTAACAATTAGAGTTACCTTCATGTGGCAGAATTAGTACATAACTTAAAAAAGGTGCATTTAATAACAGTGACTGTGCAATCTGTTCTCAAGGGCTGTACTGATCTAATATCAATAAGCAGAGAAACCAGGAATTGCCTGAGTTTTAAAAGGCTTTTGATGTTCCCAGGTGTGATAGTGAAGTAGAAGCTGGTGAGGAAATCTACAAATTTCTTCTAAGTTGCTCCAGGAATTTTGGTACTGGAAGGGAGACCTGGTGTCAGGTTAGGTGATATACCTGTGAAGAATTGCATTTACTTTTCCATTTAGAGTGATGATTAATACCCCTTATTGCCTAATGCCATAGAAATTGGAATAGTTAAGGTGTGTTACATGGATTTTGCTTTCTAGCTGTAGGCTGTTATTTAGTGATTTTTGTAAACTCACTGACCTGAAGTAATATCATTTCGGTATTTGTTGTGTTAGTATTTCCTGGTCTAGTCATGGAGTTGGTTCCATCGGCTGACCTGGTAACACACTGATTCCCATATTGATGACAATTTTCCTAACATAGTGTAGTTTGCTTGTGGTTATGTACTTCTTGTCCTTGTTGGGATGGTGATGGATAATACTTCTGCAGTTATGCTTCAAATGACCAAGTTGGTGCAGTGATCTTTGCAGGGTGGTACATGGAGGTTGTGTTGTCTTGCTTTGATGTTACACTGTGGTCTATATGTTTGTGTCAGCTTGTGGATCACATTAGAGTTATGGAGGTTTTCAGGTTTATTCAAGGCTGTGCTCTAAGGAAAATTTCAGGGAGCCCTTCGGGCTCCCAAGCGTTTTAGCTTGGGTGCCCAGGCCTAAAAGATGGTCGCCCAAATCAAAATTTCGGGGAGCCCGAAGGGCTCCCAAACATTTTAGCTGAGGTGCCCGGGCCTCCTAGTTGGTCGCCCAAATTAATAAATCAGTCAGTTAATTATTAAAAATTAAACAAACTGTTTTCGTAACGAGTGAAATAGAATTATGTGCATTTATTTATTGTTTAAGAGCAGAACAGAAGTATTTTCTTTCCTATGTTATCGGTGAAATGTTCAAGACAAATGAGCTTTTTGTGGATTCGGTCGATTTTATTTTTAGTGCGTGATACGTAATAACTTGTCACAACACCAAGGACAATGCGGGACTTATAGAGTTTATACCCGTTTCTAAAACAATCACAAAAAAAAACCTATCTTTTTTTTTTTATACATCGTGTTTTACTGGAAAAACAATCTTAAGTTATGTTTTTGCCTCGCAGACACGGCAGTAAAAAGCCGGCTAAAATATTAAATTAGCATAGAAGAGCGACTCCCGTGTTTATTCAGCGATTTATTAATCGCCGACCGTACTTTACGCCTATCAGAGCAGAAGTAACAACTTCTTTTGAAAAACTAGCTGATGAGCCATTCCAATTTAAAGGAAAAATTTTAATGCTATTGGAAAAGCCGTTAAAATCGAAAACTGTGCAGCTAGTCAAGTTCAAAGTCAAGGATTATGCTACATGTGAATTCACGTGGAACGACCTTTGAACATCAACGCGCGCCCGATGGAACAACATTTCTTTTAAAAGAACGACTCCCGTGTTCATTTAGCGATTTATTAATCGTCGACCGTACTTTACGCCTGTCAGAGCAGAAGTAACAATTGCTTTTCAAAAACTAACTAACGAGCCATCCTAATTTAAAGGAAAAATTATAATACTATTTGGAAAAGCGGTTAAAATCGAAAACTGTGCAGCTTGTCACGATCAAAGTCGATGATTATGTTACACGTAAATTCACGTGGAACGACCTTTGAATATCAACGCGCGCCCGATTGAACAACATTTTTTTTTTTTTTTTTGGACTGTAAATCAAGAAACCAACACCAGCCAGTCGCCCGGCTGGGCGACCAAGAAAATATTTTCAGTCGCCCGAGGCCAAATGTTAGTCGCCTCAGGCGACCGGGCGCCGTTAGAGCACAGCCTTGTTTATGTATAATAGTCGCGCTGGCAATGCTCGGATCCTTTTGAAGCTACATGAAGTTGTAGAAACGTGGCTTTTGTATTAATGCTGGTGGCATTGGTGTTGGACTTGTCCTTGCTCTGAAGACTGAAGCTGCTCTTAAATCGCTGGTGATTCTTTTATCAAAAAGAGTCATTATTTGCCAATTGAGGTGACTCTGGTTTGAGTGGTAGTGGTATTGGCTAAATGCCTATGGCTTTGCCTTTTAATGCGTTGAGCATGTCTTGATTTTGTGTGTTACTTGATTGTTAGTGATGCTTTTAGTTCCCGTGTGGTAACAGTTTCGGAAGCACTGATAGCTGGCGGATGTAGGGGTTAACGGTTTTGGTTTTTTTCATCTCTTCGCTGACAAATTATAGTTGGTGATGTTGTCGCAGTTACTTCTCCTAGATCAATTTTAAAACTTTCCTATGCAGTGGTCAATTGGCAATGTTAAAGGTGGTAATGTGCTAGAACGTGATGATCTGCACGCGAGTGGCTTGAATTTAATGCGTAACAGTGGCGGTGATTATTGGGAAATATGTGTTTCGGGATTTTTGTTGTAGTAGCATAGCTAGCTTATTTGTGTACTTTGGCAGCTGTTCCACATTGAAATCTTATAGCAGACGGTAATGTCCAGTTTTATCTTGTTTTTAAGCATCGATAAACAATTCAGACGTATTTAAGGTCAATTGGTTTGCAATACGACACTCAAGGTAAGGTTACGTGCTGGGTTATGAAAGATTTCAACAGATGCTTTTATTATTAGTGAGGGAGAGGTCTTGGATTGTTAGATCTCAAGAAGATGCCTGACTTAAAATATTCAAGAGTATAATTACACCTTATGTCGACCTTGGTACTTAGAAGGTAGATTCCATTCCATTAAGAATCAAACGTCAACGAGCCACCAGAACTGACTAAGTTTACGGCCCCCGAGCGGAAATAAACACTCTTTTCAGTTATTCCTTTCCCCTCAAACTCTCAAATCGCGTTTCATTTTTGCTGTTTATGTCTCTGGTTGGTACTTTGTTTACTAAAAAACAAAACTCTTTCTTAATCTAAAAACTGGGTTGAAATGAAAAATCTTAGATTAAATCTCTTGTTAGGTTCTTTCGTTGGTGTTCCTTGCTACAAAGGATTTAGAAAATGATATCACGATTTGAAACCATTCTCGGTCTCAATTGGCTATCGGGAGTTTTCTTTTTTTCGAATGGGTTTGATTAGCCTCACTTAATGTCAATTCTCTGTTTGACAGGTCATCCTGGAAAAGTTAGTATTATGGCTACGGCTATTTCACCATTTGGGTCTACCAAAGAGACTACTAACTATGCAAGGTTATGCCGCCTCCTGGTGGATGTTGGATCTCAGGTGCTTCGGTCCACTTTTGACACAATACATCCACCAGCGACTCTACATACAGTTTTGGGAAGTACCTCAGTGCATTACGCCACATTGCAATCACTGTACAAAGGGAGGAAGAAAGTGCTGAATCCCACGCAATGGGGAAAGTTGCACCCTTCTCACGCACCAGTGTCTTTTGCAGCCTTCGATATCACACTTCTAACGGTGCTTCTTAGAAATATCTGTGGTTTGGGCCCTCCTGCCAATGGATGGGATCGTCTTCCCCCAGCTACAAACATAAGCATCGCAGATGACATCGCCAGAGTCAAGTATTACAGGAACACTGTATACGGCCATGCTTCTCAAGCCTCTGTGGATGACAGTAGTTTCAGTGCTTACTGGAAAGAAGTAAGAGAAGCTTTGGTAAGACTGGGAGGAGCTCATTTTAGAGCTGAAATCGGCAATCTTGAGCACGACTGCATGGATCCAGATATCGAGGAGCATTATCGTGAACTGATGAAACAATGGAAGAAAGACGACGACAGCATCAAAGACAAGCTTGAAGAAATTGAAGGTAAGAAAAGCATTGTACTGTCAATGATGATGAACCAGAAGGCTACAAATGTATATATTTTCAGTTAGCACAGCAGTGCAGGCGAGCTCATGAAGTTTTCATTTCGGTCGGAACTAGTCTTATATTTGGAAGGTATTTTTGCGTCATGTGTGAAAAATGAAGAATTAGCCCCAATGTTTAAACTGTGTGTTCATTTGTAATATTTTGGTCTGTTCGGGGTACTCGTGTACAATTGCTGGACTACATTTTTGTGATTTCTAGGTGTCCTATTGAGTTTGATCTGTTCGGAATCGACTAGATATTGACATAGGTATCATTGTTTTATCTGTACGTAAACGTGAAGCTGTGATATAATTTTGCTTATGAAAATGCGCATACCTTTTGAAATTTTCAGATTCGCTGGAAAACAAGAAACTTCAGAGACGCAACTGACAAGATAGAGATTGATATGAAAGAGGTGAAAGAAAAGCTTACTAGTCTGACGGCCTCAGCCGAAAAAAGCACACAAGAAGGTTAGTTGGTAGAAAGAGCTACTCACAGAAAAAAAGTTATGAAGAGCGACACTGTTTTTTTAAGTACATGACGCAGCTCTTGGGCATGATGACGGTAATCGCTGGATGTCGGCCAACACAGCATACTTTGGTACTTTACTGGTCTAAGGGCACACCCTGGCTACCCCTCCCACTTGCCATACATGAAGATACTCTATAGTGTGTGGGATGCCACGGAATGTGAGATATTCTGCCCTGGCTACCTCTCGGATTTGATGGTGTTTTGACAGCACTCATACATATGTATGATCGTAGGCGAGATAGGTTATTGTTCTTTTTTTTCGTATCATCTTTCTCATAATGAATCTAACTTCCTAGTAGCGTTAGATGTGACCCACGTACTTCTCAATAAAATAACCAAATCCTTCCTCCGGTCATATTGTGTAGTATCCAATTCTACATGGGAAAATAGTTGAATTAGAATCGTCTTGAGTAAAATGGGCCGGAATAAGATGCGTGTGGTTATTTTACATTTCCTGAGGAAAAGATTGCAGGCAGAACCTCCCACTCCATTACAGACGGGTCTCTAGGTTTCCTTTGGGTTTTTTTTTTGTTGCCCAATAAAACACAGCAGTGTAATATAACTCATAATGTTTTCATTTTGGTTGGAACTAGTCTCATATTTGGAACGTTAGTCTAGCGTTATGTGTGAAAAATTAGGAATTAACCCAAATGTCCACCGTGTGTTTTCATTGGCAGTATTTTTGTCTGTTCGTGGGTACTCGTGTACAACTGCTGGAGTGCATTTTTGTGATTTCTAAGCGTCTTATTGAGCTTGATCCCTTCGGAATCGAGTAGATATTGACATAGGTGTCATTGTTTATCTGCACGTTAATGTGAATTTGTGAGGTAACTGTGCTTATGAAATTGCGCTTATCTTTCTTACCAATGCAGATTCGCTAAATGACCTCAGAGATACAACTGAGAAGATAGAGATTGAAATGAAGGAGGTTAAAGAGACGCTTTGTGGCCTGACGACCACAGTGGAGAAAAGCACAGATGAAGGTTGGTTGCTAAAAATAGCTACTCACAGATAAACTGAACTATCAACAGGGATTCCGTTAACTTGAGTACAAAACACATCTTTTGAGCATGACCACATTATTCGCTAGATGTCGGCTAATTTAACACTTTTCAGGTAATGTATTGTTGTAAGAGCACATCTTGGCTACTAAGATAAACCTACTCTGGCTACAAATGAAGATACCAGGTAATGTGTGGGATGAATGGGATGGCACGGAATCTCAGGCTACCTCTCAGATTGGATAGCTTTCTGACAGCACTCATACACATTTGGCCGAGAAGGGTTATTGCCTTATTTTAGTTTTACTTTTGTTAAGGATATAACGAATCTTACTTCCTAATTCGTTAGCTTTTACCTGCATATTCTTGAACAGACTAATGCAATCCTTCTTCCACTCAAATTTTTTGTAGAGTATTCCACTTTGCATGGAAAATATTGCTGAATGAGGGCTGTGTTAGTAAAAAGGGGCAGGAGAAGGCGTATGTGGTTATTTTAATTGTCCCGAGCGAAAAACTGTGAACGAAACTTCACAATGCATTGCAGGCGGACCTCTGGTTTGTGTCAGCGTTTTCCTTTTTCTATGAGTAAACGAAGTGAAAACGAGGGCGGAAAAGCGTTCTTTGGTTTTTTTTAATTAGTTCTTACAATGTTGCTTTTTACCGACAAAAATCTTACTCAGACTATCGACTCTAATGATATCAATATTTATCTCCCGAGTTTCACTATCAGAAACCGCCGAAACCGAGCCATAAGTTTTTTTCGAATGTTGTATAAAATTTAAAAAAAAACAACAACAACAGAGGAAGGGAAAAGGATCTATTTAGTTAACTTTTAATGAATAAAGTGACTCTCACTCGGACTAAAAATTCCAATGCTATTCCACGAAAGGGTCTTTTGAGAAAATGATTGGCGAAATGGTAAAGATGGACAGCGAACTGAAAGAAGTGAAGAAAAAGCTGTGTACTTTGACAGCCTCAGTGGGAGAAAGCAAGGATGAAGGTCAGTTGAATTATACAATAAAAGTTATCCTGCTTAACCGCAAATTTCGCCGTAGTCAACATGGCCTGTATGTGAGAGAGGGAGAGATCATCCTATGTGAAAGGGCTTCAGTTTTTCAATTTAGACAATCTCTGGAATAATCTCTGCGGTGTACTTTCATTCCCCCCAATTGTTCAAACTTTCACCCGTAATTAGCCTGGAAAACTTTATATTTTGATTAGAGTGGAGAACGAAATAAAACGAAGTACAGTTTTAACGAAAACATTGGCATTAAGTTCGGCTCGATGTTAGAAATTAACAGAGCAGGTTTCACTGCATTTACAAGCCAAATAGCTTTTGGTCAGTAAATTGACATGAATCATACATTGATACCTTTTTCATCGTCCAAGTAATTTCTTTGGCAGTGGTGTCGTACTCATTCACTAATTTAAATTCAGTGCCGAATACCTAGTAGCATTAGATGTAATCCGCATATTTCTGAATAAAATAACTAAACCCTTCCTGCGCTCATATTGTGGAGTATTCAATTCTACATGGGAAAATAGTTGAATGAGGATCGTCTTGAGTAAAATAGGTTCCTAAGGAAAAGACTGTAGGAAAAACCTCCCTCTGCCACGGCACCACAATTTTCAATGCTGCATTCATCAGATTTCTTACTTATTTTGCTACTGCTAGGTGTTTTTGATCCAACTGAGCTTATCAATGGAATTCGCCAGCTGTACAAGACTCGCGAGGGATGGCTCTCACCATTTCCATGGTGTGAAGAGTTTCACTTTTTTCTTGGCAATATTTTTACAAGGCTCAAAGTGGTCAGAAGAAAGAGAACGAGAGGAGAAATCACCGACGTATTTGTTGAGATGTCGTCAATACTAGACCCATATGAAGAGTGTTCAGCGCCGAGAACAGTGTTGATTGAAGGAGAACCTGGTATGGGAAAAACCACCTATTGTAAAAAGTACGCTTACGACTGGGCCACAAAACAGCAAGAACCTCAGGGCTGCGGCTCAACAGCATATAAAGTGGTATTGTTACTGAAACGTCGAGATATCCACTCTGACGTTTGGGAAGCCATTGATGATCAGCTGCTGCCCCGAGACATCGATGAAGAAGTCAAACAACAATTCTTTCAGTTCATTCGTGAAAATCAGTCCAGCATTTTATTGATATTGGATGGATTGGATGAGTTACCGTCCAGTAAATTGTCAATGTTTTTCGAATTAATGGAAGGAAGAGTACTCCCCAGATGCCACATAGTTGCAACAGCAAGACACGAAGCTGGAAAAGAGGTGAGAAAATGTTGTGACACTCTGCTTCAGATCGAAGGATTCACTGAAAAGCATGTGAGAGGATTTGTCACCAAGTACTTTAAAGAAAGGCCGGATTTAGCCACCAAGCTCTCGCAACGGATGTCGCGAGATAAAAACCTGAGAGAAATAGCGGCCAATCCTCTAAACACAGCACTTCTTTGCCTTTTATGCGAAGAGTTTGAGGGCACACTCCCCGAAAGCAGAGCTCAACTGTACTTGGATATGGTTGAATGTGTTTTGAGAAGATATAGAAAAAGAAAAGGACTACTAGAAACGATCGAAGACTTGACAAACTATTACAAACCGCAATTGAATCACCTTGGAAAGGTAGCGTTGAATGGTTTACTTGACGATAAGTTGGATTTCAATGAAAGTGAAGTGAGAAACCATGCAAAAGACCTGACTGAATTTGGATTTCTGTCAGTGCAGCCTGGTGGCAGCAAACTGAGACAAACACTGCATTATTCCTTCTTACATAAAAGTTTTCAAGAATTCTTTGCAGCATTCTTCATTTGTTCTCAGATTCAAAGCAAGGAAATGAAACCTAAAGAACTAGTTTCCGATTCAAGGTATTTCGTTGAACTTAAACAAATACTTTTGTTTTCATGTGGAATTTTGGCCATGAAATGCGATGAACAAGTTGTGGCTCTTGTAAAGAGTTTAACAAATGAAGTCAAAAAAAATAAAGGCCATGGTGCAAAAATTGTATTGGAGGTCATCAACGAATGTAAAAGAGAAAAAAGCGATTTTCACTCGCATTTATCGAAGTCGTTTGGAACTGATTTGAATCTGACCAATTTGTATTTGTGTGAGAATGATATTAGTGCTGCGGGTGCTACATGTATTGCTGAGGCAATGAAAGTGAACAAGACGCTAACCAATTTGTATTTGTCTGGGAATGGTATTAGTGATGCGGGTGCTACATGTATTGCTGAGGGAATGAAAGTGAACAAGACGCTAACCAATTTGTATTTGTCTGGGAATGGTATTAGTGATGCGGGTGCTACATGTATTGCTGAGGCAATGAAAGTGAATAAGAAGCTAACCAATTTGTATTTGTTTTACAATGGTATTAGTGACGCGGGTGCTACATGTATTGCTGAGGCAATGAAAGTGAACAAGACGCTAACCAATTTGAATTTGTTGTACAATGGTATTAGTGATGCGGGTGCTACATGTATTGCTGAGGCAATGAAAGTAAACAAGACGCTAACCAAATTGGAACTGTCTTACAATTGTATAATAAGAAATTTGAAGTAGTAGGGTACTGCTTTTAATGTAGGCAGGTAGCTTTGGAAATTGAGGGCCGAAGGCCCGAACCTCTAGGGGGGTCCGGGGGCATGCTCCCCCGGGAAATTTTTAAAAGAAAAGTCTCCCAGAAACGCATTTTCCTGCAATCTGGAGAAGAAATCTTCCAATGATGCATACTTAATCTATTATAATAAAAAAGAATGGTACTCTGGGAGAATTTGTTTATTTCACTGTTGTTTTCGGAGCCTCTTTTTATCCTACAGTTACAAGTTACAAGTTAAAGGCCCATTTCCAACCTTGATGCAACTCGCGCCGCGACCCAATTTCCTGTAACACGAAATTTCCAGATCACTGAAAACCTTCTAAAATCGTCTTTCTCAAGAGCCATCCTGAACATATAGTCAACAGTTTTACGGTAAATACATTCGCCGTTCGTTATTTCACTGTTTCCTTACAGTATTTTGAACTTTGTCCTGAAGAATCCTAAGAAAAATTTTTTTAAGTGTCACGCCTGGAGCTCTTCGTACTCTTGGAAGAGTCGGCGAAAAGGACAATATTCAAATTTTTTCACTTTCTAGAAGCGCTTGAGGATTCCAATTTAAGACAAAATACTTCTGATAGAAACTGGCATTTTTCAAAGAGAAATATGGAAAAATATTAGACTGCCGGACGTGTAGTTATTTGAAGACCGTGTCCGGTAGTGTCTGGTGAAAATTTTCTTAGTGTCACGCTTGGATCTCTTCGTACTCTGTGTACAAGGTCAGCGAAATGGAGAAAGTTGGCATTTTTTCACTTTTTAGAAGCGCTCGAGGATTGTAAATGAAGGTAGAATATTTTCCAATGAAAAATTAGTATATTTTAAAGAGAAATATGGAGTTGTTTGAGGACCGTGTCCAGCCGTGTTATTGAAATTTTAAGCGCTTGGATGGCTTCGTACTCTGTATACAGGGTTAGCGAGAAACATCAAGTTCGAAATTTTAGGCTGCCTGGAGGCGCTTGAGGATTGTACATAAAGGTAGAACATTTTCATATAAATATTTTTTGGATTTCGAAGAGAAATATGGAAAAATATCGCACTGCTGGACGTTGAATTATTTTAAGTGTAGTCACTTCATTGCAGGAACTCGAACGTCAGCGACACTGACAGTTTGTGTTACAATTCTTATTTGCTGCTTTGCATGGACAACAACCCCGACCACTCTTTCGAGCGCAAGTTCCTCTCCACGGGCAGGAAACTTCAACTGACCCTTGGTCCTATTTAACAAGGATGGCAAACTTCAATTAAAAAAATTGATGAATGAATGAAAACTGTCTCGGAATCTACTAAATCAATAGATTCATCCAATTCCATACCGGATTAAAACGTATAGAACTGTTTTAAACAGAATAATTTTAATAAGCTCTTCAAATTCATTGGAGAAAAGGCAGGTATTTGAGACGTGACAAGGTAAAAAATAACTGGCCAATCAGAGGCGCTATTTAAACAAAAGCGGTGGTTCAAAACGAAAACAAACGACCGCGTTGGCTCAAGGTTGGAAATGGGCCTTTTATCAGCTTATATAGTTATAAAGCGTGAAACTGACACTTTTTGTAGTTTATGAAAACTCAAAGTCAGAGCCACAATCAGAATCTTCGGCATCCAAATCTGGCAGCTCCAAGGCTTTGGAGATTTCCTCTACCTCTTCCTCAACAGAATAGAATAACTGGGCGTCATCATCAGTTGCCTGTACACAAACATCATGTACAATTATCACTGGAACATCCTCATTTGCAGATCCTGGACCTGGTGGTGGTGCTGTGTTGAAAACCTTTGGAGGGCGCTTGCGACGAGGTTTAGCTGCTAACCAGGACGAAACAGCCGAATTAAGAACAAGTCCCTGTAAGAATCAAACATCTTGGGGAATGAAAATTTCCAACCCCCCTTCAAATTTTGCATGCAGTTAGGCGCTCAGGGGGGATGCACAAAAATACCCTTTATAAAGGTCGCAGCACTCTTGTTGCCATGGTAACAGCGGCTGCTTGTTCGAGGCCTAGGGCCTCGTTTTCACACAAAAACGTCGCAAAAAAAGAGTGAAATTTTTATTTCTCTATCTCAAGCTAAATAAAACATTACAAATTGGCACTTCTATCATACATAGTAACATTATTCGTCTCTACATTGATTCATTCAATTTTCCCTGGGAGTGAATGTGAACACACCAATAGATTATTCATCTCGGTACAGTTTCGGTCATTTTTGTTGTCGGGTAAAACAGGGAAAACGTTTATCTGAATTTCTCCAAAAGTGCACCGATTCTGCAACTGAAACTACCCACCTAGCTGGTTATAATATTCTAGTTATTAAATATGTAAAAATCTCTGCGGACCTGCCTCTACTTTTTATGGGGGAAATTCCCAAACGAAGCTCAAAATCAGATATTGCATAATTTGGCGATGTTTCTAATGTTCTCAACAATAAATGTTTCAGAAAAATGAAACATTCAAGGCTTTGAAAGAATGTTGTCTTATGAGCAATATCCCGAAGAGAAATCTCACCTCTAGTAGTCATCTTTAAAAAAAAATTGATCAACCTTCATGGAGGACTACTCGACGTAAAAACAAACATATACCTCAAATCGTGTGCATATCATCCAGATTCCGAATGCTGCACCTTCTTTTATGGGAATTTGAGCGATCTGAAGTCCTCTGAAGATACACTGTTATACTTGTATGTCATTTAAGACATGTTGAAGTCGGCTGATCTACACGCAACTATCCTCACACCGGTCATTTGTCATTAACATGTACGTTGTCACGATGGCGTGAATCCGTATTTCTCCATGAAGTTTCCATCGGTCGCCCCATAGAAGACGAGAAATGGACATTTTTCGAAATATCAGCAGATTTCCGCGCATTCTAGGTCAAAACAACCAAAAAGAAGAAGAAAACCTCGATTGAACGCTCGTAAACACTGAGAGGGCAGACATCGCAACTTGTCAGCGGCAGTACCACATGTAAAACCCAGTCGCCACAATAGCAATTTGTACGACTCGCACGAAAATCATCACCAAGTGGAGATTTTGAACTACTCAGTATCCCTGCAGTACAGCAAACGGAACAGGAATTTCATCACAATCAATTTTCAAAAATTTAGCTTTTTTCGGGGAGTCTTTCACTTGCTCGAACGTTATATTGGCTTTGAGCCTTGAGATTTATTTCCCTTGACAATAAAATGCTATAGAAAGTACTTACAAAATTACAAAAGAACTAATTTTAGTGTCGGTTGGACCGAGAAATACAGATTTGAAATAATTAATACTGTCACTGATCAACCAAAGGGCACAATCTTCTCAGTTATTAGCTTGATAATCTCTACAGACCAACGTTATTGGACCGAACGATCTCCTGTTTCTTCCTGGTGAGCCGGCCACCTCAGGGGAAAATTAAAGAGACCTTTGACTCTCCTTTTTTTCTGAAGGACATGAAGCAATCCAGATTACATATCAACCATGGGAAAATTCGTTCAAGTGACAAGTTGCGATTTACGTGTGGATAATAAGTTGTTTGAAAGGTAGAATTATGACATTATGATTCCATTAAATCTTTTATTTCGAACTTTCAATATGGAAGGAAATATCGATTGACTCGATTGCACTGCGGCGGTGATAAGTCTCTCCTCATCATATCTTATGCAAATTTTCTAACAGTTTTCCGACAGTTTTTAGATGATTCGAAATATCTTAGTTCCTGTCACAAGGAAGTGATAACTGCCCGAATCTGCTCTTTGAAAGGAGATGCCCATGTCGTTCAAATTGCGATTGCAACTGGGTTTTTACATGTGGTACTGCCGCTGACAGTTACGATTTATACTCTCAGATTCTCAGTGTTTACTAGCGTTCATTTGAAGTTTTCCTCTTTTTTTCCTTTTTTTATTTTGGGTTGTTTTGTTTTTACTTCAGAAAGCGGAAATCTGCTAAAATATATGAAAAATATCTATTTCTCGTCTTCTTTGGAGCGACCGATAGAAACTTCACGGAGAAATACAGCATCGTGATAACGTACATGTTTATGACAAATGACCGGTGTGAGGATAGTTTCGTGTAGATTCGCCGACTTCAACATGTTTTAAATGACATACAAGTAGAACAGTGCACCCTTAGAGGACTTCGGATTGCTCAAATTCCCATGAAAGAAGTGCAGCATTCTGGACTAGTGCAGCACTATCTGCATGATATGCACACGATTTGAGTTATATGTTTGTAGTTATGTCAAGTTGTCCGCCATGAAGCTTGATCAATTTTTTTTTTGATGACAAGATTTTTTTTTGAGGCAAGATTTCAATACGACTCCAACCAATTTGAATTTGTATGACAATCATATTAGTGATGCCGGTGCTACATCTATTGCTAAAGCAATCAGAGTCAACAAGACGCTAACCAATTTAAGTTTGTATCACAATCGTATTAGTGATGCCGGTGCTACATCTATTGCTGAGGCAATCAAAGTCAACAAGACGCTAACTAATTTGAATTTGTCTCAGAATCGTATTAATGCTGCCGGTGCTACATCGATCGCTAAGACAATCAAAGTCAACAAGACGCTAACCAATTTGAATTTGTCTGTCAATCTTCTTAATGATGCCGGTGCTACATCTATTGCTGAGGCAATCAAGGTCAACAAGACGTTAACTAATTTGAATTTGTTTAACAGTGGTATTAGTGATACCGGTGCTACATCTATTGTTGAGGCAATCAAGGTCAACAAGACGCTAACTAGTTTGAATTTGTCTCGTAATCGTATTAGTGATACCGGTGCTACATCTATTGCTGAGGCCATCAAAGTCAACAAGGCACTAACCAATTTGGAGCTTGTCCGGCAATGATATTGCCGGTGCTGCATTTGTTGCTGGGCCAAACTAAGTTAGCAGGAAGCTAACCAATTGGCATTTGTCTTAGAATAATATTAGTGATGCCGATACTCCTTTTTATGCCGAGGCAATCAAAGTCAGCAAGACTCTGACCAATTAAGATTTGTCTAACAATGGTAACAAATGTGAACAAAGCTGTGAGTGAGTTGAACTGACTTTTCCTTTTGTACTTTTCCTTTTAAGTAACGTTTTTTAAATTTTCCCTTTTGCAGATGCAGGAAGGAGCTTTTTAAATTGTCTTTAGTTGCTCTTTGATTAGATTACATTCAAGTTATAATAGCTACCTTTGTGATGTTTTTTTTAGTTTAAGGTGATGCTTATGCTTCTGAGGTATTTACATTAGAGGAAAAGAAGTGTAAAACGCCATTGTTTTTAGAGTTTTGTCATGAAAGGGATATCATAAGCATGTATCATCCACGAGCAGCAATATTTTTTCCATTCTTTATATGCCTCGAGCGCCTCTCTTTCAATATAAACCAAAGCAAAAAAAAGTTTACAGACATTGTTTTTTATTTCTGTTTCGATCTGCACAGCCATTAAATGAAATTTGACCACTGGGAGGTTCCTAAAGGGGAGGTGTGCGGGGAAAGGGGATGGGTGGGGACACAACAGGGGCGAGGTAAACAAAGTGTGCTGTGGATAACTCTTAAAGGGTAATGTATTGCCAGCGAATGCTTGTTTCCAGATAGGTCTGGGGCCTAATTACGAGTTAGTAGATGTGCCATTCGGCAGGCGAGGACGCATAGCCCCAGAAATGAAGGGATGATGTCGGTTTCCCATGCAGGAAGATCTGGATTTGTACAAATTATAGATTCTTTGCTAAAGAGACTGGCAGTTAGAGCTTGGTCAACAGATTGTAACCAAATCGTTTAAACAAATTTTATAAGGAACTCTCTGAAAGATAGAGCTGATAAAGTCTTTTCACTTTCATCAGAAATAAAGACAACGGATTTGAGACGTAAACCGACATCCTCGAAGTCATTTAAAAATACTTTAAAAAAATTAATAGATTCTAAAATAGAACAGGACCCAGTGTTCAAAGGGCGGATAACGCTATCCAATGAATACATCGCTATCCAGCGGATGTGTTAACAAAGAATACTGCACCATCCATCGGATGGAGATTTATGCAGTGGTTATCGTTATCGAACAATGAGGACCAGGTGGAAGACGGTTAGTTAGTGGAGTGATCTAAACAACGGGTAGTATTCACAGTTAACGATTTGGAGCACAACTCAGTAAGTGTTTTTGTTTTCGTTGGGTTTTTAATTTCTAACAGCAAAAACATGTAAAGGAAACGAAACATCGCAAAATCTTAATGTTTCCTCAACAAAGCCATAATAGTGGGATTGGGAAGGACAGAAAATTGACTGCTGCTAAGGCAACGCAGCTATGCTCCCTCACTTCCCGTAAAACCCCTCCCCTCTCACCTCTCATCCATTCCTTATCCTACAAGAGCCATGATCCCTCCGTTAATTGCCTGACCACACAGGCTGTAAGGGGAGGAAAACTTGAAACTCCATCAGTAAGTTTAATAAGAGCTTGGCGGAAGAAACAGAAAAGTAGTTTTCCCCTCCCCTCCCTTCTGACCCCCCCTCCCCCTCCCATCTCATTTGTTTTTGTTGTCAAAGCCCATTTCCAGTCTTTCCCGGAAGTGGCTTCTGATGTTTGACACCAACATATCCTCCTGGGAAGAGAAATAAAAGGAGGAAACAATTCTGAGAGCAAAATGGTATTTCTGACGAATGAGTCTGCGAATAAGGTAGAAATAAATATTTTGTCGGCACGAGATACGACAAGGCCTGGGCCTTAGGCCCAAGCATCATGGGTAATGATGCAGTGGTATATAAGGGAAAGTATAGCACGTGATGTCCATCTAGGCCTCAGAACCAACCGTTCACCTCTGGCTGATGACAAATTCAGTGGCCTCTTGGAGCAGACCGTTTCTCAGATCAAACGGTCGAACGAAGAATCGGCGGAAAGTCAGATGAAGGAGACCAAGCGCCTCAAATTCAACGAGTCTCTTAAGAAAAACAAAGTGACTAGAGGACCGCTACAACTCAGGTGTAGTTCTTTCCTTTGTTAATATCGAAGCTAGTAGTTTGCCTTCGCAATCGGAATTAGGCAGTGCCACTGACTCGGATCCTAGCGTTGCCGCTTGTGCTGATTCTTTCCTGTTAGATTCCTTCGGATTCAGGCTCTCTTGCAGTTGATTTGACCTGTTCTTCTGTACGTGGAGGGCTTAGAAAATTTGTGGATTTTTGACGTACTTTGGAAGTTTCGCAATTTGTCCCAAATGTTATTATGCAGGGTTACAAAATTCCCTTCCTCCAACTTCCAACACCTTTTGTTAAGAGAAACAATACTTCTGCTCGTGAGAATAGTGATTTTTGTTTCGCAAGCTGTCAGCGATTTACTTCGCTTGGACCTAATTGCATAACTTGCTTGTAAGCCCGATATCATTAACCCACTTTCAGTTTCTACCCGTAGTTCGGGAAAGCAAAGGCTCGTTTTGAATCTTCGACATGTCAACCAGTTAATATACAAGCAGAAGTTCAAATGTGAAGATCTGGGTGTCGTTACGCAGTTGTTTTGATCGTAATTATTACTTGTTTAAATTTGACCTTCAGTCTGGTTATCACCACATTGAAATTTTCCCAAACCACAGAAAATTTCTCGCTTTTGCTTGGGATTTTGGGAACGGGGTTTCAAGATATTTTCAGTTCTGAAAATTTTCAGAGCTCATAGAGCCTCTGTGCTTCCTTTCGGGTTTTCTTCAGCCCCGTATGTTTTCACATCGATTTTTAAGACATTACAGAAATCGTGGAGGAGCCAGGGCATCCCGATAGCTATTTTCCTCGACGATGGTTTAGGAGGGGGAACAGATTTTGTTTCTGCTAAAGTTAACAGTTTAGTCGTCCATTCAGATTTGCTCAAGTCTGGATTTGTTCCTAATGAGGAAAAGCCTCTCCTAGTTATCACCTGGTTGGGTGTGATTCTCGACACTATTGATGTGTCTATACAAGCAACCGACGAACGTATTGAAAAGTTAAACGCTAGCCTTGTTGAGCTACTGTCTTGTCAACCTCCCTGGAAAGTGCACGTTAAGGGAGTCGCCATTGTAACGGGTCAAATAATTTCCCTCTCTCCCTGTGTGGGTTCCTTCGCCCGTATTATGACTAGATTTCTTTTCTTGGTCGTGAATTCGGCGCGCTCTCGGGAAAGCGAAGTTTTTCTCTCAGACGACTCTCTTTCAGAAATCAGTTTCTGGAAGAACAACTTGGTATTCTTCAATAGCAAGGTTTCTTCGTCGGTCCAGTCCCTTCCGGTCAGGGTCACCTTTTCAGATGCCCCCAATTCGGCTTGTGGTGCTTTCGTAAAAGAATCAAATTTAGTATTTTATCAGAACTGGTCTCCTGTAGTGCGTGCCTAAAAGTTCTACATGGAGAGAACTCAAAGCTGTTTGCCTCGCCTTGGAAGCTTTCGCGAGTCATCTTTCTGGTGTTAAGGTTATTTGGTATTCCGATAACCAGAACGTCGAATCTATTCTTCAAAACAGTAGTAGGGTAGCTGACATGCACCAATTAGCCCTCCTAGTTATCCAAATATGTCTTGAGTTTCACATATCACTTGAGGTTAAGTGGATCCCTTGGGAGCTTAACGCTAAGGCTGATGCAATAAGCAATTTAACCGATTATGATGACTATACCATTAACGAAGCTATCTTTCAAAGAATTAACCTATTTTGTGGGTCCCACACCGTTGACAGATTTGCTTGTTCCTATAACGCTAAGGTACCAAGATTTAACACTGAGATTTTTTCAGACTGGCTGTGTAGTAGTAGATGCCTTCTCCCAAGATTGGGGGCACGATAATGATTGGATTTGTCCTCCAGTGTGCCTATTAATTAGAGTGGTAAAGCACATGGAATTGTGTAAGGCGAGAGGAGCGGTTATCCTCCCCTTGTGGAAGTCCTCTTGCTTATGGACTTAATTTTGTAGAGACAGTGTGCAACGGAACAGTTTCGTAATTGACTGGGTGTTTTTACCCAAGTTCCCAGGTGTCTTTATCAGAGGGAAATCCCGAAACTCGCTTTTCGGTTCCAAACCCCTGGACTTTGATGCTATAGCCCTTCGAATTGATTTCGCCGCCCCAGATCTCCCTGTACTTGCGTAGGCTTCTGTACGAAGTTCAGTATAGACTGTGATCGTTGTAATTAGCCCGGCGGGCTTTTTGTATTCACCGCGGAAGTTTTCTCTTCTGGGTGCAAATGTGATTTTGTTTCAGTCAATCCCAGCGTAATTGCTCTAAGTCCTTTGTACTTAGCTTATGGGTTGTTTGGCACTTACTCAGGCTTGAAGTGACTTAAATCATAGAATTGCCCGTCAATATTGCGTATTGCG